TCTCAGGCATCACTCTTTCCCATGCTCATACAGAACTGACGAGTCAACCGTCTTTAGCAAAACTGTCTAGCTACGCGGGCATTGACACTTTGGACCCAACCCTTGCAGCGCATGTGGCTGCTCACGCTCAGGCTCAACCTCAAGGTGGCCATTCTGAAGTGATGACCGGAAGTCTACAAGGCAAAGTGAGTACGCAGTTATTGTTTTTCCTAATTTACTGTTTTGCTTGCAATCTCAATCAGTAGGATTTCGAATGCATGAACCTTCCGTGGTTATCATGAAGATTTTATCACTCATTAGAGATGGAAATATTTGTGATGACCNCGACAAAGAGCAATGAACAGGTATTCCGTCCTATTTGGGACTCATCAGTAGTGCGTGCTGCTTGTGTCCCTGTCAGGACTCGAACGGCAAACATTCGGGTTGGGATTTCAAACTCTTACCCCTAAGCCACTCGGTCGATGGTCATCACCCGGGTGAATGGTTCAAGCAGTACCTGGCGCCTGTGAATAATCTATTGGATTAATCTGCGTTTCATACTCTAAGTTACTTGAACACAATGTAATGACCGTGTAGCTCAAGAATAAGAGCTTGAAGTCCCGACCCAAGTATTCACATTTCTATTACTGTCAGGGACACAAAACAGTAAGTAACTAGTGTGAAACAAAACGAAGCAGCTGTCCTATGTCCTTTGTCGGTCGCTACAAACCTTTCCACCGCTAGTGGGGAATTAACGATCACCCAAGGAGTGAAACCCACCCTGACGACCATCAGTAGTGCCCGGTGCCTAAGAGAAATCAAGGGGATCAATCTAAATTTGATACTCTAAATTTCATTATTCGTTTCGGAACATGTAGTATTTTTGCCTCCACTGAAGGCAGTTCGCCAGATGAATAGTTTTTGTTTAATGCACTGCAAAGTTGTACATGAAAGTGGATTGTCTCGTTTGTATCCCTAGTAACTAGATTCTTAGTGGTAATGGTTGTTATTTGCCGGCTTATCAGTAACTAGATTACTAAAATATTCTGATCACGTAAAATCCAGTGAATCTTTTTACACAAGGGAAAGTTGGGAAACAATTACAGATAATCTCTCACATTCTGTTTAAAAAGTGATATTGTTCGTTCTGTTCATAATATCTGCTAAATAGAATCCCGACCGTTGAGATATTCAAATTACATTATGACAGGACTAAATGGGTTGGTGAATGACGAACGGGTGTTAGGGTATGCAGTAGTTCGAATTTATTTCTTCCATCACCACGCCGGAAGTGGAGTATGGTAGTGTGACATCTAACGTTGCAGCAGTTCGGCCAGTCCTGCTCTACGGTGCAGAGACTTAGCCTTTACGGGAACTGGATAAAAATAGATTGTCGGTGTTCCAACACCGCTGTGTACGTCGCATTGCACGAGTTTGGTGGGGTAACTGGACGAGCAATGCTGAAGTTGAGCGTAGAGTTTTAGACAGTCGCGCTCGTCCATTGGAGAAATTGATCGACCTTCATAGATTAAGTTGTTTGGGGCATATGTTACGCATGTCGCCAGATAGGTTGCCACGACGGGCGATGTTTGGCGGGGCAGGTAGTGGTTGGAAAAAGGTCAGGGGTGGTCAAACGAATACCTGGTATGAGGGTATGAAATCCCTAACCAGGAGACTAGGTCACATAGGCCCCGTTAGGCTCCCTGGCTGGGACCCCCAGATGATGGTCACCAATGGTTAGAGACACTAAGTGAAATGGCTGGGTGTCGCAAACTGTGCCGCTCGTGCACCTGCTCATTATTCGTTTAACCCCAGTCTGTATGAATTCTCCATCTTCCGCTTTAAATCGCTTTCAACATTCCAATCTTCATTCTGCTCTTTTATCCGAATGGGGCACCAAAACCGGCACACGAAAGTGCATAGTTAACGGTTGCAAAAATTGGACTGGTCTGAATGAGAACTGTCACATGCTACTCTCGAGTCTACTACTAAAGAATGAATTTGTGGGATATACGGAATATATTTCGCCATCTGCGTTGCTTGCTTGCTTTGTGGTACAAGTCCACCTAACGCTTTCAAAGTTTTGTAATCCGATTGAATTTCAAATTTCAAAATATTGAAAATGATTTGTTTTCAGAAAAAAGGTAAAAAAATAGTTTCTGTGTTCTTAAGGCTCCCTAGCAATACACTGTTTGCGACTGGATATTGATGAGTTTGGTGATCACCAAATAATTAAAAGCGGTGGAAGCGATTCTCTGTTTTTTACTAAAAAATGAAAACGAAATCCAATCGATCCAATCCTATTGATTGCCGATTTACCATACTTTTTATTCTTTGCGAATGGATATATTAATAACAATGATTCCTCTTATGATGAAATCCTTCCCTGCCCGATTGAAATACTACTGCTTTCATGCGTTTCGCATTTGCGAATCGATATGTTCCTCACAATTATCGATAGAACTGAATTATAGCTACAACCCAAATCAAAGCGTTTAGTTCGGGCCGATTGGAGACAACCAACAGCTTCGAATGGGGGCAATTGATCCACTTGCGGGTCAAACCAAGCCACCACATCACGTGTAATCCGTTGATCAGTCTATTTGTCTGTCTGTTTCTCTATATATGCGTTTACAACTAGGAGCATACATCAGCTTTACACTTTAACTGACACAGGCAGCGAGGAATTATTCACACACCAATAACAATATTATTGAACTATTTTCTCTCTTGTTGACATCAGTGCACAATCAATGAATTGTATCTTTGTGGCATTTTCATGGGACAACCAGCCGGGACGATACACTTATCAAGCATCTGATTGGTAAACAAAGCATCATGTATACATTTTCCGCATAACTCGATCTTCCTTTCGAAATAAAGTGATAGTCTTGTGTTATAAGCATCTGATTAGTCCATTCTTTCTTGGCTTTACAAAGCTTTAACATTCCGAATGTCTTAATGAATGTTTTGATTCCAAAAAATCATTTGGGTAATTTTATATTTGCGGAACTTTGATATATACTCTCACTTTCTCTATCTGAGCAACTCGGCTGTTTTTGTTGATTTCAACCTACCTACCTCCACATTTCCTTTCTGAACACAATTCCCCGTTTATCCAATTAGCGATAGACTCGCAAACGTTGCATGATTGGTTCAATTGATGTTTTTTGCCTGAAAGTGAAATACGAATGATGCTTGATCAAAAGCAGTATCTTAAGTTTATCATCATTATTCACACATCGCCGGGAGATCAGTGAAAGTAAATTTTCTGTTCAGCTCCTTGTGTCCTGTCTGTGCGTTTGCTCAATCCAGTTACTTTCTGTCTGAATTAGTTTGCCATGTTCACCATGATGCCCCTAAACGGAGCTCCCTTTTATTCATTTGATAAAGCTTTAAACTTCATAAATAGTTCACAAATTATTGAAAATTAAACGCTTTTCTTACCGTTGTCTTACCCTTCTGTGATAGTCCGGAAGTGTGAATTATTGTATAACTTCCCATGCAAGATTTTTGAAGCAATTCTATCAAACTGTTTACTATACTATTTTCTTGCAATGAATATTTTGCTCTACCGCTTATTTTTAGTTCGATTTACACTTCCTTAAAAAAATTCCACCCGGTTCCGAGACGTCCAATATCCTGGTCGGAGAAACCAATTTTTTGCCGGCCCCCATCACCGTGTTTATTCGATTGAAAGAAGCCGTTCTGTTGGGTGATTTGACTGAGGTACCTGTTCCAACCAGATTCCTATTCCTACATTTGGGTGTGGCCGGCAATGCGTTGAAATACCGTGAAATCGGTCGTTCAATGGGCGTGTTAATGTCTGACGATGTGAGTTTAACCTACTTATTATGCCTAGAGTAGATTGATCCTATGCGTCCGTCTTACTCTTTCGTGTGAACTCTATTTGATGTGGTAAGCCAAAAATTTAAACCAACAGAAAGGAAATTCGAACTGAGTAGAAAAGTTTTGAAGCCATTCGCTTACATTGAGCGAATAGTTCCTTAAATCAATCATCTTTGTATGTACATAACGTGTCTGGTATAGCGCAACTTCATCACATCCATGGTTGATCAACTCAGATTCATGTTTGGTTTTATTTTATGTTTGAACTATTCTGACTAATTTATGTCAGTTGAAAACAAAATAAAGTATAATAATTTACTTGTGGGTTG